ATTCGCACAACAATATCTGTTCTTTGTCTAAATCTATTTTAAATTCTTGTTCAGTGTGAATTAAATTTGTATTGCCCTTATATCATGTCAGAAGTCTTCATTATACGCTCAAGCTCTAAAGTTATAATGATGTTTTAGGGTTTGAATTTAGCTTTGTTTTTATTAAATTAGATAAGCAGTATTAACCAGATCCTTGGTTTATAAATAAAAGAAATACTAGGATTTTCCATTTTTAGAAATTGAATGAATAACTTGACATTACATATGTTAGGACAGAAAAAACTTAAATATACTAATAAGGGCTTGGCTATTACTTATTTTATGATTCATTATAAGTTATTTATTACTTTTTTTTGCTATACGGCAATATAGTCTTTTAACATTGTTATGGTCATTTTAGCGATGGAAAATAATCTACAACCAATGGCAGACAAGTGTCCTACATTATGCATAATCAAGTCGGCATCTCAAGGTAATCAGAAGCCCAACTCGATCGACTCGATACGTCGACATCTGGTGAGGACAACTCGAAAGATGTCATATTTTAACGAAAGGTGTTACGTGTCGTCCTCTAGCTGAGTCGACTGCTTAACCATTCCACTCGGTCGACCAATCGGCCGACACCTTGCGAGGGTGACTCAAAAGACGGTACTTTTTGACTATCCGACGAGTAGAGAGACGACGAAACATCTCGAGCCCCCTCCTGTGTATTGATGATCAATCACCTCGCAATAAGTGTCATTAAATGCATTATGGACTTCATTATTCCTATGTTCCCCTAATAGTAATTATGATACATCGGACCATGTCAACACCGCACCCCCCATCACTTCGCATTAAACATCAAGGTGATCTCTTCTCTACTCGTCGGTCAACACTTGTAAAGTTGAACTGACTTGACCGTCAGTCCATGCCCGACATAAGTTACTATCCTACCCCTCATTCCACTATTATAAAAGGAGATATTATTTTCAATGATAAGGTAAGTTATTTGCTATTACTCTCTGTGCTTAAGAACTACTACAGTCCATTTTACTTCTTCACACAAGCAACTCGCTGACTTGATCGTCGGAGTAACAACCGAGGAACCAAACCCTACCACCATTTTACGATTTGTTACTTGTGCATGGAAGAACATCTTGCTAAAAAAATCAGACATTTGCAGAGTTAGAAGACCTCAGTCAATTTAATCAACCCTTTTTATTTGACAGTGTGATTTCATACATCAACAAACATCAATAAGTAGATCTACTTATAAGTGTCCGAAAAAAATAAGTTGGAGAGTCTTGACTTATTTTTCCCCTAGTTATAAGTTGAAAATAAGTAAAAGCAGACCCTTATCAAACACGATCTTCACACCTTATAAGTAAAAAGATACTTACAAGTAAAAGTAAAAATAAGTAGGTTGCCAAACATACTCTAGATTTGTCAAAAAAGAAATATGATACAAGAGTTAATGAATATTCTAAGCACACAAACTATAAAACAAGAACAAGCAATATTTAACTAGAAATAGACCCCAATAATATCGCCTTGTTATAAATAAAGCCCTCTAATTAAGTGGGTGGACCCCTTGATGAAGCTAAGGGGCTGTTTGGTTCGTTTTTTAACTTGGTGGAAAAGTTTTACACCGTCTCCATATCAGATTTTTCGTGGTCACGTAGGATATAAGCTTTCCGACGATTTTTTTCCATCTTTGGTTCGCTAGGGTTGAAGAATGGAAACTCGGTGAAAATCGCCGCCACATCAGTTTTTTTCCTCTCCCCCAATTCCTTCCTCAAACTCGTGAAATCGACGAAAACTGCAGCCACGTCAGTTTTTTACCATATAAACAAAAGTTTTCTCTTTTTTTCCATGCGAACCAAACACAAAAAAATAAATACATTGGTTTCCCACCAATTTTTTGTGCGAACCAAAGCGAAACAATCTATTTCTTGAAAAAGTTTAGAAAACTCAAAACTTATGTTTTTATACATGGAAATGAATTTTTCTATATCTAGGAAACGAACCAAGCAGCCCCTAAAAGTCGGAAAAGGGTTTCGTAGAGGCGGGTGGGCCCTCTTAACTCTATTGTCCTCGTAGACTCCTAATTGCTAAATCAAAAATTATTAATGGAGGGGACCTATCCATACTTAGGCAAAGAGAGCAGGGGTCTTTTTGAACAATTAGAACCACAGGGGGCCTGTCCGAAACTAGACGATACTAAAGGATGTTTATCTAAATTATCGCCGATGAAATATTCAAATAAGGAATAGCACCGGGAGTACTGTGCAAAATTTCAGTTCGTCAAAAGGAAATGACAGCCGTAGGCAGAAAATCTAAAAAAGAAAATAACGAGGGAAAAAAACCAACCACACAGAAACAACCAACATCCATCAGAAACTCACCAAAACTGGACACTTGTCATATCGCACGGCTCTCCGTTGTCACCCCCTCCTCACGTGATCATCTCCTCCTCACGATTCCCCAAACCCCACTGCACAAAAAAAACTCGAGTCCCGTCACCGCCCCCTCCTCCTTAAAACCCCCACCACAACTCTAGAGACGTAAAAAGAAAAAAATACGATCAAGGAAAAAAATGGGGAAAGAATTCATGGGTCTCTCAGAATCGAGCTCAGCCATCAACAACGACGACGAGAGAGAGGAGAGAGACGAAGATGAGCTGGAGCTGGGGCTGAGCTTGGGATCGAAGAAGCTCACCGGATGTCGCCGGATTCTGACGGCCAAGGATTTTCCGGCGGCGGTTGGGTCACGTGCGTCGCCGCTGTCGTCTTCTTCGTCCGTGTCGTCGTCAGAGGGAGCTAAACAAAGGTTAGCGGGCTGTTTTGTGATAATTTTTTTGAGGGATTTCTTTGATGGGTTTCGATTTGCACTAGTTATTTTTTAGTTTTTCTTTGGTTGGATGTCTGGGTTTTCCTTAGTTCCTATTTTTTTTAGTTTTTTGGTTTTATTTTAATAATTTAGTTTTTAATTATTTAGTTAATATGCACCTGTATTTATTGTTAGTTTTTATTCTTATTGATAGAATTTTTAGTTCTTATTCGATTCGATGCTTAATCCTCCGAGAATTTACTTCGGCATTTTTTGGTTCTTTTTCCATGTGTGAGTTTCTTTATTTATTATTTACAAATATATTTTCTAACGTTTAGAGAAAATATTTTTGTTCTTCTGTTGGTTTCTTTGAAATGATTTGTGATCCGACCATTAGGAGACATAGGTTAATTAATGAGCGAAAAATCGGAGGAAGTAAAAGAAAAGAAAAAAAAAAAATCAAAGAAACAGTATCCTGACCGAGAGATTCACGTGTTATCAGTAATAAAACTCTTTTTTACTGGTGTTTTGATTCTTGGGTAAAAATTCCTTTTTTTAATGAAGTTCTCAAACTCGTGAACAGTCAAGTGGTCGTCGGGTGGCCACCGATAAGAGCTTTCAGGATCAACAGCTTGGTTAACCAAGCCAAAGAAATCTCCTCGGACGTCGAAACCAAGAAGAACGATCAAAACCCAAGCGACGACGGCGAGCGCACCAACGCCAAGAGCCAAGGAAACGAAGCAAGCAAGGTCGAGAGCGCGAGAGCTGCTCGGTTCGTGAAAGTGAACATGGACGGGGACCGGATCGGGAGGAAGGTCGACCTCAGCTCCCATCGGTCCTACGAGACGCTGGCTTCGGCCCTCGAGATCATGTTCCATAGGCCCACCGTTGGGCTCGGTAAGTTCTTTTTCTCAGCTCCTTGGTACTTGTTTAGGAGTGGATTTGGGTGTGTTAACGTTTCCTGATTCTACATTGATCTTCTATTACGATTGTAGGTGCGTCGAAGGCGTCGAAGCTGTTGGGTGGCTCTTCTGATTTTGCACTGACTTACGAAGACAAGGATGGGGATTGGATGCTTGTCGGAGACGTTCCGTGGGGGTATGATTACCCACATTTTGATTGTTCTGATGTTAACAACATAACTCGTTGGATAGGGGTTTCGATAACACGAGACAATTTTGGAGACTATGCATCTGTTCTATAAAAATCATCTTGTTTTGGTGTATAGGAAAAACTAACATGGTTTCCTAGGTGGACAAATTTTCAATTTAGCCCAATTTCGGAACTAAATTCTAAAAAGAAAACGATCTATTTGAAAAATATTTACCAAACTAGCTGAAACTGGGTCGAATTTGGTGAAAAATACTAAACTTCACAGGACCTGGACTTCAGGTCCCGTAAAGTTTAACACCCCCCCCTCCCCCGCGAACTTGATTATCTGGTGCTCAAACTCCACATGATTTCAAGTTTTGTAATTTTTTTACCAAATTTGACTCAGTTTCAGCCAACTGGGTCGAATTTGGTAAATAATTTCTAAATAGGTCGTTTTTTGAGATTAAAGTTTCTAAACATGTTGTTTTGAAAATTTGTCCTTCCTAGGCTTAGTTTTAGATAGGAAAAACAACTTTCGAAGCTATGTTTACTTTAATAAAGATATTGTGATTATCTATATGTTTGTTCTCTAATGAAATTAAGTAAGAAACTGAGAAATGTTTGTTTTGATACTTTTTAGATAGAAAAAACAACTGTAGTTTGTAACTCTTTAGTTAATTATTTTGACTTTATAACGTGAATCTTGAAGAGGATGTTTGTTTTGATACTTTTTAGACCCTTTTTCTCAGTTTAATTTACTTGTTATCCAATTGCATGATAAATAGGATGTTCTTGGACACGGTGAAACGACTCAGAATCATGCGGACTTCTGATGCCACTGGACTCGGTAAGTTATACTATTAGGAATTAAAAGTTACTCTTATAGAATTAACAATGTCAAATGTGTGGAAAGCCTGAGCTTAATGTTGGCATTATTTGTTCAAGACTGGATTAAAGAATTAACTGTTGTTTTTTACAATTCAATTATAGTAATGTATTACAACACAGGACTCAGCTTAATAATGCCCATATTTATTTGTTCAAGCTGGAACAGACCCTGAAGTTAGAATGAATTTTAACATGTGAGGGTTTGTTAGTTATTTACGCAAATTGTTTATGATGTATTGAGTACTCTAACCGGAATCATATTGATTTGGAGAGAAATCTCGTTGCTGTTCACTTAATTTAAAATTTGATACAGTATTGACACCGGCTATTATCTTTTGGCTCCTGTTTTTGATTCTTACTGCAGCTCCGAGATTTCAATCTCCAGCCAGAGGGCTGCTTCAGAGCTAGGAGCGAGTGTTTTTTGCCCATTCAGATCAACTGCAACGCCGCATCCGTTCAATTTTTTTTTCGTCTTTGTTCGACCTCTTTTGTTTTTGTGGAAGTTCTTTCTGGTTGCTCCAGTTTTTCATTCTATGCGTATGATTACATATTTTGCTAGTCCGTGCACTCGGGTCTTGATACTGTAAATAATGTCATTTCATACGTTTGATTTTATGTTGAGGGTGTTTAGAGAGCCCAAAGCACACTCCTCTGTGCCTTGCCTTGTTCAATATGAGAAAGTATCAAACTGTTCTTTGGGACATGGCATTAAATGCGCACAAAATGGATGTTAACCCGTCAGATTAGTGAACATTAGGACTCATGTACGGATTCAATGGTTAACATTTATTTGGTGCACATTAAATATCATGGACTGTCTTCACCAGTTACTTCCTCCTGCAATATGAGCGCAAGGTCCTCTTGTTGTTAGTCTTGTTGCGACTGTAGAAAGATTTGTTTTGTTATCTCACTTCTGCTAGCTTTTCGTGTTGAAAGATTGTTACTGGGAGTGATTTATTTTCTCTCGGGGTTTATTAAGCTTAACGAAGTTCTCAATTCAGGATGCAGATCCGTGACAAATTCAGAAGTGCCAAATTTCGTTTAGTTCATCTTATGCTCTGCTGGCCATCATGACGACTACTTGAATGATTTACCCGGGTAGTCCAATTTTATTAAAATATCTCCAACAGGGACAAAATGTACTGTGGTTCTTTATCTCGGTAAAAAAAAAAGACCACCGAAAACCATAGAGATGTATTCAGTGAGTCGCAACTCAGTTTGGGGTACAATTTCATACGAGGTTTTCTTGAAAAAAGAGGGAACCCGTACATCCACATAAAAGTACTATTGCTACCCGTTTTCATGGGTTTTTAAGAACTTTCTTGTTCTAAATCAAGCGTGAAATTGTGCTTTCATTCTTTTCTATTGTTTGTAAAAAAAGGGGAGAAAAAAGAAGAGGAAACCATTGAGAAATGATTCATTCATACTTATTCCCTATTATGAGGAAACTCTATTTTTGAACTAAAAAGTTCAAAAATGGGGTTTCTTGTTATTTTTGACGCGGCAGGGGTTTCCTGGCCCTATTTCCTAAAAATTATAAGCAAACCAAGCTGAATGTGGGAAAAAAACAAATTTGATTGCAAAACTAATTTCTTGTGCAAAACCTTTAGTACTACGCCCGTGCGCCTGTCGGGTCTTGAAAAAGCTAGTTTCTGCTTTTCTTGTGCAAAACAAATAATCCAAGCAGACATTTTGATTTAGGGGCTGTTTGTTTGCTAAAAAAATGGAAAAAACCCTTGTCACTTCATATTTCAAGAGATCTTCCCCTGCCACATAGGATTTTGGTTTCAACCGATTTTTAAATCACATATTTGTTTCGTTTTGTAATTTAAAGAAATGAGGGTGTCACGTAGGATGTCACGTTAGATTTTTTAGAAAAGTGTTTTTACACAAAAAACATCTGAAGATACTTGTAAATATTACTTCAATAAATTTTTAATTACTAAAAGCACTGTTGAAACAGTGACTGTGAATAAAACAGATTGTTTAATTGCTGAAAATACTGTTACTATTGCGGCTGATTTCCATTTCCTTTTTTATGTTCAAACAAACACAAGAAATAAAAATCCAAACACTGTTACTGTTGATGTCTAGAATCACACATTCAATAGGGGGGAGGTTGTCTACCGAGGGAGGATGATAAAGGATAAAGGAGCCGACTCCCCCTTCGACTTTATGCCTAGCTCTGAGCGCACAGGGTGGACTGATGGCCTGCACACACAAGGAACGTCGGGGTACGGGGCGTGTTTCCCCCGTGGTACCTCCGACGGTCAAGTTAGAGGATGAGTTTGAGGGAGGTTTGGGGATAATCCCTAGGTCATTGAGGTCCATGCATGGTACATTCTCATTTTAGAATTTATTTAGAAGCAACTTGAAGAAAAGAATGACTTCTTAGTTTTTTGAGTTCAAAGAACCTGAGTCCCCAAAAAGCCTGCTGGTCCTCTGTTTCGGATCCATTGCCTCCCTCTTTATAGGCTGTTGAGGATAGACACGAGGCTTCATCAGGGGTCTGAGGACGATGATGGGGGATGATGCTAGAGTAGTGTTATATGCTCTTAAACATCCAATATATTTTCTATTGAATATTAATTGAGTTTATTATTACACATGTTGTTTGGGTATCTTTTATACAATTGTTATATTATTCTTAGAGATTATTTTGTTAGATCATGCACTGTGATGGTCACTTGCTTGGAGATATGATCTAATTCAGAGATTTCTTAAATTTGTGCTTAACCTATAACTAGTAAATGATAGCTTTGTTATAACAGGTTATTATGCATGACAACGACATATGAGATGTGATGGTTGATCTCAACTATCGGGAATGAAGATTCCCCGAGTGTATGTCATAAGCGCATATTTGATATGTGTAGTATAAGACCTTATTTGGACTCTCTAGGACGAGTCACCTAAGAGATAGAGAATTCGAATTGTTACATGGTCCCTTAGACTTGATGATATTATCATTTTCGATTTGGTAATCTAATACTTTGATATGATGGTTAAGCTTGTTTTACAAGTGTTATACAACCTAAAATGTTGGGTTATTAGATTTCATTTAGAAAAATAATAGATATCTAGATAGGATCCAATATACTCATTTTTATGAGTTAATTTATTATGCATATCCCGTGAAGATATTAAATTCCCGTCGACGGGTGATTTTTTGAAATTATTTTTCTAAAATTATTTTCTTATAAAATAAAATATTTTAATGTTTTAAAATAATTTTTTATTTATGTTCATGAGATTGCAATTTTAGGATTGAGCAAATAGGTGATTCATCCTGTTTAATAAAGTTTCCTAAAATAAATTGATACTGGAGGGTAGGGGTGGGCAAAAACCAAAACAAACCGGTTCAACCGAAAAAACCGCCCGAAAAAATGGATCGGTTAACCGAACCGAATTAAATGGATGAGAAGAAGTCTCTAAACCGTCCGAACCGAATTAAACCGGTCTGGATCCGGTTTGAACCCCTGAACCGCCTAAAAAAAATCGAACCGAATTCTTAAACAAAAAATAGCTGCGAGCCTTGGGTGTGAAGAAAATTTATGGTTGAATGTTTAGCATTTAAGAATTATGGGGTGGAGTTTATACTAACATATATTTGAGTACGCTGATAAAGTTAAGTGAGATTTCCGTAAATCAATACAAGATGTTGAGGTTGAAGGATAAATTTAGTGTTTTGGTCAAATTTCAGTGATAACATGAATACAGCTTGCTGGTGCTGGATATCAAATTAACCTATAGTATAGGCTGTCAAGGATATAAGATAATTCTTGATGAGAAAAAGGCTGCTAAAAATTAACAAAAATCATCAAAAGGTGTGTGTGCCTGCCAAACATTGTTCTTTCTCTAAAAAAGGCTACATAATTACATGGTCCTCCTAGTGTATTAAACTAGTTATATTCAGATCATACAATTTGATTAAGTGGCTTAGTACAGTTTTGATTGTTTCTTTTCAGTTTTGATTGCTTCTTTTCAGTTTTGGAATTAACTAAAACTTACCCAGATTTTTGAGAAATGAAGTTAATTCGGTTCAAAACCGAAACCGAACCGAACCGAACCGAATTTCGGTTGGGCCGAATATTCGGATGAAGGGGAAAAAATCTGGATCTGGATGAAAGTTTTGAGAATCCGAAAAATTCGGATTGGATGCGGATTGGGCTTAAAACCGAACCGAACCGAATACGCCCAGCCCTACTGGAGGGGACTGAATGTAAGATAATATTATTCACGAATATTTAATCTCATATTATGGAAGAGCTTTTATGAACAGTTGGTCGGATAGAGATTTGATTATTAAATTAAAATTATTAATTTGATTAATAATTGGTTCTCGATATGGGACCTAATTGGTCTCACTAATGTCATTAGAAGATGTTTATATGTAATACAATTCTATTTCTATCCTAATTGTTATGGGAAGAATATTCTACCTTTAAATGTTATGGATAGAGTTTTAAACATTTAAGAATTGTTTTAAAATTAAAATCTATAAGGAAGGTCCTGTAGGCTGTCTAAAAATCATAATAGATAGTTGATCCCCCATCAAACACCGATGATGGAAGTTACAATCTGACGACTTCCAGAAGACTACAATTTAAGGACTTTCACGTAGAAGGCTACAATCTGACGACCTTCACGACAACTGATGAAAGCTCTAATTCAACAGCATTGTATGGTGTAAATTTGATTTCCCGAAAAAACAGGGAGTGTTCGTTTGTATTAACAAGAAAGCTTATTACAAACTAATAATCAAATGGTTACAACAGAAGCAGAGGGAAAGCCCTCTTTGTTTTGTGTGGGGACTTTAGGTGGCTATAGGACGCTTCGCTCGATGCTCGTGTCGAGTCTGCTTCCCTTGGACCGTTCGATCGAGGTTGCTGGAGAGCTTCAGTTCGCAGTAGAAGCTCGAATCGATGGAGTTCGGGTCTGCTTAGTTCGCCGGCGATCGGAGCTCGAAACTAAACAGTGATGCTGCAATGCAAAGATTATGCAGAGAGCTTGGTCTCAACTCTTTTTCTCCAAGTTTTGCGACCTCTCCTCCAGTGTGCTGGAAGGGGCTTTTAAATGGAAGAAGGACAGCTTGACTCATCCTTGAATTATGGGATGTGACCACATCTTCTTCAGAGACGTCTAGCTGCTCCTCGATACCATGAATGGTCATTCGAGGGATTGTGCTTTATGTCCTGTCACCTAAAATGGGAAGGCCCATCCTTGTATATGAGGCAACGGCCGTCTGCTATCCGAGTGGACTTGACCAGCATTAATGAACCGCATTTATGAGTTCGCAGACCGATGAGGTGTCTGTCCGATCACTCGTACTGTGCGTGACCGCCCGGCGTGCTTTGAGCACGGTGCTTTCTCCTTTCCGGTCAGGAGAGGCGGCGAAGTAGGTGCACAGTACTCGAGTGGGTCTAGCCAACTTGCCGAGTGCCGGCGGATCCAGCTCTTGACTCAGACAGCCGAGGTGAGTCGCATTTATGAATGCTCAGGTTGACTCGACACCTGTCCAGGCCTTCGTACTGTGAGCGGCCGCTTGACGGTCTGGGGGTACTGTGCCCTCTCCCTTCGGGTCGAGAGAGATGGGATGGCCCATCCCAGCACGTGGGGTAGCGGATACCCAGCTGTACTAGTGGCCTTGAGGTTTGCAGGCGGATTCGTC